TGCTGAGGATCGAACCTGGGCCGCACGCACGCTAGGCGAGCGTGCTACCGCTTGAGCCACATCCCCAGCCCAGCTTTACTTATTTTTAATAGTCCATTTTTTAATTTCTAAAAATTTAAAGTTGAATTATGATGTTGACTTATTTTTTTTTTCAAACTATATATATATCCCCAAGAAGGAGATTGTGGTATGACTCACCATGGATATAATGGTATGCCTCACCAGGGAGATAATCATCCTCAGGTCTTTAGAATGACCATTTGCAGTTTACTATGCCTAGTTTTAGTGAGAAGAAGGTTTAGCTGTTGTCTCACCAAGCATAACAGGCCTTCTCTCAGGCCCTCTCATCAGGATTTAACCAAGCAGAGGTTCCCAGGAGCATCAGTCAGCTGTTTAAACAGAATCCTTTCTGAGGGCACAGGAGATGAGGGACTTGTCTAAGAAGAAGTTGCATCTCCAGAACCTTATGACTTGAGGTCCTCCACAAAACTAAATTCTGTAACTTGACCTTACTGAGAGCTCTGTGTTGCTCATCTGAAGTAAGAATAACAACACTTACATTACAGGGTTATTTTGAAAATCAAATAAGACATCATGAATATAGCCATGCCAGTACATAGTAGGGCTCAAAGTAAATGTGCATAGGTAAACTTAATGCCATGTGGAGAAAATTGTACTGGTTCCAGCCTTTTGAATATGTTTTTTTTTTTCTTTTTAGGTAACTCAGCTGGACCCCAATAAATCACTATTGGAGGTAAAATTGTTCCCTCAAGAAACCCTTTTCCTTGAAGCAAAAGAGTAAACACAGCTCAGCGGTGGAACCAGCCTTTCCTTGACAAGCCAGAGGCCTGTGTCAAGAGATGGGCTCCTCACCAACCCACCCACACGCTCGTCTCACTCAATTCAATGTCACACTTCTGCCTCTTGCAAGATTGCTGGAAAAAAAAAAGTAATAATAAACATAGCTACTTAAAATTTCCCATCCATGAGTATATGTTCCCAGCCCTTATTCCAGAGAATTGCAACTCTGCCACCCTCCCCTATCCCCTGCACTTCACCCTTGTTCAATGACTAATGTACTGTTCAAGTGTGAGTGATCACTAGTAGAATTTTTACCTCTCCAGTGCCTATTTTTTCCCCACAGTGTCAAGGACAGTTCTGTCTGTCTTGTGACACCAGGATACTGTGTATTTGATATGTCTCATTGAGCCAAGACTCACACCTCTGCCTTTTTATTTTCATGACTGGATTTCTACTTTGTCACCTACTTTTAAGAGGCAGGGGGGGAGTCGAATGGGACATTCTTGGCATGGAGATTAAACGTTGTAGGAAAAAAATGTATATCATTTTTGTTGGTACTTTCTGACTTCTTTACTGAGATAAAAGGTTTTGTTTGAGGATTGGTTTGACATATATGCAAGATATTTATTCACTGCTGCTGCCTTGGGTCTCCAGGTTCCATCTAGGAGCCGAATGGGAAATTGTTCAAGTATACATGTGAATGTTGAAATAGTGTACAGAGGGGACTACTACCCAAACTTTGGTATCTGGCTCAGCTGTGGGAAGCTGCTGTTGGGTTTGGATTTGGGCAGTAAGGAACCCCATAGATACCAACTCCCACATTGCTGGTCCATCAGTATACACTGAGCACAGTTCTCTCTTGCTCTTGTCTCCCTCTACTTCTTCAAGCATTCGAACCTTATCACCTGGTGTTTTTAGCACCTTTTCTATTGCCAAAATCTGACCAGCTATCCCTCCAGCTCTCCTACATTAAAGAACTTGCTCTGCTATTTCACTATTTTAACATTAGATATTGAAAAAAGCAAACCTGGGGGCTCAGCCCAGAAGACATATGTTACCTGAATCCACATGTAATAATTTGGGGTTTGATTTAGTAATTGTAGATTTTGCTAACTCATGGAACACTGTTTATATACCTTCACAGCCAATGATTTCCTTTTGGTCTTGGAATATTCTCCATAGCTGTTTTTGTGTCACCTGTTGTCTTTATCCTAGGGTTTGAGATCCCAATTTTTACGTTTTTTACTTGAGCAAAAGAGAACATAAGAGCTTAAGTTTATTCCCCTGACTCTGGCAAGGGGTTCTCAGAAGACTCTAACCAAAACTGGAGATATGCCTGGTTAGTTTCCCTCTGACCAGAAGTGTGTGTAGGCCAAGAAAGTCCCACCTTGTGTATTTTCTCTGATGTTCCACCAGGGACTTCCCCTGAAAACTCTCTTAAAAAGAGATGTGTTCCTAACTGACTACGCTTTATCTGCCTATAAGTGGACCTTCTCTGGCTCCAGGGAGACTGAAAGGGAGACCCACTATAGGGGGAGTTCTAGCTGAGTACTTTGTCTCCAGCTCCACTCCTTCCTTCTAAATCTAGTGACTCTACCACACAGTCATTCTTGGTGCTACAGACCCACCAGGGCAACAGCTCTTTTCCCAGGTGGACCTTGTTCTGTAGCTGCTGTGGAGAAGTGGCAGCCTGAACTCAGGCCATACTCAGGAACAGCAGCCAGAGTGTAGGTAAGTGTTTAAGAGAAGGGTCTCTGAATTCACCTTCATGCTTAATTAACCTCTCCTGTCTTTCCCCTTCAATTCTGTATCCCAACAATATAGACTTTACTCTGAAACCAATTTTATAAAAGTTATTAAATGTTACATGAATGTGTGAAGTTGATATGCCCTTTTCAATCCTGTCTTGGAAAGTTCTCAGTCTACCCAGCCCCATGAACTCCCTGTCCTCTAGGCCCTCAGCTAATTGTCACTGTTCACTTGTAACCTTCTGGTCTACTGAGCTCCAGAACAGGAGGCCAAAGCAATTTTATACCTTTTCATGCAAACACAACATTAAAATGACTTTGTTCTCACCATAGATTCGACGGTATCCTTTTGAGTTATCACCCCCTACTCTTAATCTTTCTTGTCCTGTACATCTCAGCCTTCAGATGCAGCAAGCCAATCAGAATATTTGTTGGGCATTCTTTGCCCAGCTATTTCCAGTAAACTCCAGGGCTCCTTGTCATCCCTCCATTCCAGTTCACTCCCTTGTGTTCTTGGATTATCAGTTGTATATTTGGAGAACTAGTTTGAAAGTTTAAGGAAGTATTGCCAATTTCCCATTGCTTTTAGAAGGTGCAGTTTGTTTTTTTGTTTGTTTGTTTGTTTGTTTTGTGTGTGTGTGTGCATTGGCACTTTTGGTTTTAAGTAATTTGCAGATGTTAATCTCAATGGTAAGCAACCAACGTCTCCGTTGAAAAAAGAGCACTTTTATGGAATTTTTTTAATATAGGAGAATGAAAAATATTTACAGAATTTACTTACTGGTGCCATTTAAAACTTCCAATACATTTGTAGTTGCATTAAAATTCCTACTTCCAGAAGCTAGATGTACTGACCTGTGTGTGCTGGTCAATGGGATGGACTTTTACAAGATTACAGAGCTCTAGCAGATGTCCTCCCAAGCATGGAAGTTTCATGTGGATGTAGGAGAGGGGTCTCCATTAGCAGCATTACTGATTGACACATTTAAAACCATCCCTGTTAGCCTCTCAACTACCCAGTCCTAGACCCCCAGGTGGATGGGACATGGGAGTTCTAAATTTAGTCCAAGAGTAACTCACCTAGACATTGTACTTTACAGTGTAAATAATCCTTCCATTTGCATTTAATCATTTGAATTTTTTTAAAAAAATTATTGAAGGAAGAGAAGTTTTCACAAACACACACATCAGAGACTTTGGTGTCTTCTGATTTGAACCATCATTTGTTATTTAGTAGCTGTGTGACCATAAGGTGAGTAACTTCTGAACCTCAGTATTCTGGCAGTGTGCAGATAGCACTTGGCAATTTACCTCACCTCCCACACTCATCACTACTGTCTGCCTCTGTGAGGAAGGAGAGGTGACCATTCCATTTTTGCACATAGACCCCGGAGGGTTGTGACTGGCCTAAAGTTGCACATCATGTCAACAGAAGAGTCAGAACTCAAGCCCTGGCCTTTGATTTTCCGCTGCACTTCTATAAAGAGTCTCTAAATTTCATGCCAAGAATGAGTCTTGGAATCTTCTACTATTTATACAAAAAGTTATAGGTTTATTTGTTTATTGGTATGGGGGATTGAACCCAGGGATTCTTTACCACTGAGCTACGTCCACAGCCCTTTTTGGTTTTTATTTTGAGACAGGGTCTCACTAAGTTGCTGAGGCTGGCCTTGAAGTTGCAATCCTCCTGTCTCAGCCTCCTGGGCATGATTACAGGAGTGTAGCTTAGTTTTATTTTTCTGGAAAGAGAATCTGCACTCATCAGATTCTGAGTGGGATCTGTTGGCAAAAAAAAGAAATTGAAGAACCACCATTCACATCATACAAACATTAGAATATTCTGGAAATTGAAACTGTATATCCTATTTATCAAGCCATATTATCTAAAATTCCCAAAGAGGGTGAAGTATAATCCATAGGCTTTATTCCCTTGAACCTCCCTCCTCATCTAATACTTTTCCCTTTTCTCACGTAATCTGCTTTAGAAGAGGACCCTTAACAACCCCTCTCTGCTGCATTTTGGAAGTTTGATCTGCAAGGAAAGAGACTTGATCTCCAGTGTTCCATCTCTTAATTCTTCTTAACATTCTCTGTTAGTTATGGTTCTTGGTTTTGGGAGTGGCCAAGAGCACAGCCTCTGGGTCCAAGCCATTCCTCAACTTAGTGGCAATGTGACCTGAGGAAGTCACTTTACCTGAGTGGGTAGTAACAGCAGTGAGAAGTGGCAGTTTGTGGGAGAGGACACAAAACCAAGAGAGTAGGAAAAAACTACTCCAGACTCTAGGGAAGGGACCAAGAGCCTTTCTGGACACTTAGGATGTGCCCAATACTATGCTCAGCATTACAGACCTTTCCTCAGGTAGCCTCACAACAGCCCTTGAGGTGGGTGTTCTTGAACCCTTTAGAAGAGGCAACAGGCTCAAAGGTGAAGCAGTTAACCACAATAAAGAACAGGGACAATTCTGACCTAGACTTCTTACTCCAAAGCCCCTGCTATGTTCATGACAATGAAGTGCTGCCTTCGTGGAAAGCATAGCATTACCAAGGCATTATAACAGTAGTGACATAAAATGTTGGTGAATACTAAGAGAAGTAAAGACAACTCCAAATGACCCATTCCCCAAGAGTTCTTATAAGTACTTTTATATAGAATGTATCAGGAGCCAAAACGTAAGGAACACTTTTTATTTTAAATGTGTGTAATAATTTTAAGACATCTCCAAAATCCATCCCCTGCTCCTCCCTGACTTATCTAACTGCTATTTTTTTTCCTTCAGATCTTTATCATCTCAGTAGGATTACAAAATCACATTGTGATTGATCTTCATTTCTCCAGCATTTTCTAATACTAGACCGGTCTCCACACCACTTCCATAAAGGGCTCTAACATACCTGCCCCACCATGTCCCCACCTGCTTTGCTCCTCTTGAAGGTTTCCTTTTACCTTCCAAATAACACCCAAATTTTTGACTTGGATTTCAACCCCTTAGACCGAAACACTTGACCCCTCCCTCCCTTCTAGCCATACACTCAACACAAGCAGCCTGCAATTTCCAGAACATTCTAGCTCTTTTGTCATCTTTGGCCTTTGCACTGATTTCCTCTGCCCTCATAGACTTCAACTATCCATCCATCCACCCATCCTGCGCTTTAATTTTAGACTTCCACTGCTCCAAAATGTTTTCTTGACCATTGCCACACCCCCTCACACCCTCCAGTCCTGGGAATCTTCAGCCATGGTACTGCTCTTTCCATAGTGTTGCATCTCTCTGAACTATAACTCTTATCATCCCTAATGTTCTTCCTCCCTTGACCCAGGCTGTTAGCTCCTGAAAGGGTCTGAGTCATTTCACATTATCAAGCCTAGTTGAATGACTAGTACAAAATAAGCACATAGTAAATTTGAATATATTAACTGAATTTGAATGATATT